TAATAAAGAACATAATTGATTTGAATTTAATTATGTGTACGTAATGTATGTATGTATGTATGTATGTATGTATGTATGTATGTATGTAGGTATGTTATCCTTCTCGCCGTATAATGACATAACCATTGTAAATGTACTTATTTTGCTTTCTCACCTGATATTAATAATAATTTTGACTTTCATGGAATTAATGCCGTTATTATTATCATCATTTGATTTTTGTATGGTGATCAGACTTCCTGCCCTACAGATTCAGAGGTCCCGAGTTCAAATCCCGGCTGTACCACATTTTCTGAGAAGTAGTGGATCTGGAACGGGGTCCACTCAGCCTCGTGAGAACAATTGAGGAGCTATTTTAAAAGAAATAGCGGCTCCGGTCTAGAAAACCGAAATTAATGGCCATGGGGATTCGATGCGTTGACCACGCGACACCCTCGATCCTCTAAAGTTGGCAGTAACTTCGCCGATAAGCGACGGTAGCTCGGTCTGTATAGTTCGCTTGCGGACTAAGGCCACGGAGTTTATTTGTTTTTATTATTTTATTATCAATACTCAGATATTATAAATTGTTCTGTTTTATACTTCGTGTACGTTTTTCTTTCTTTTACTCTTACTCACTTTGTAATTGGTCCTTGGGCTGTTCAATTAGCTCGCAAATAAACAAAAATTGAATATTATTTTTATTATTATTGTTGTTATTATTATTATTATTATTATTATTATTATTATTTAGTGTATGCTCTTCTCATAAACACTGTCCTTCTGCTTGGTGAACCTATGTTGCAATCGTCATGGGTAAAAGTCTCGACATTATTTTCAGCCGGAGCGGTCCCCCCCCCCATCACATATTTTATAAACTACTACCTAATTGTTAATACACGTAATATGTGTTCATATTCCTAATGTTCTGTGTTACATAGTAACTCAAATTCTCACATTGTGGCTTTATCTGTGTGTGTTTGTTTCTGTATCTATATTCATGCTCACTGTGTAATTAATATAGACTATCATATTTTGTATTTTGTTTGTTTTTAATTATTTTTGTGTATTTCTCTCTATTCGTGCTAGCTTTGTAATTGGCCTCTGTGCTATTAAGTTTGCAACTAAATGAACACGAATTTAATTATTGTGTTTTTGGCAGGGCTGCTGAGGTTAAATCTCCGAGTTTCTTCTGTTTAATACCCAAAACCCACTGAATTCTAATTAAGCAATCAGTTTGTCTTAACAGTATGTCAATTACGTAAAAATAAATGTGCACTTTCACATTCCAAAATTGTATCTTTTTCTCATTTAACGTTAACTTTTCTTTACCTCCTTGCTGAAGAAATTTATTCTAAGCAGTGTAGCATAAATAAGGAAGTTAGACCCATATAATAAGGACTGTAATAAGTAATTAAAAATTATTAGGTTAACGTTGTATGGTAAACGCTCTTCAAGGGATATTTGTGAATATATTTTAAATACGTTTAAAAGAATTGCATTATTTCCTGAATGCTTTCTACAACAAAATCATCTGGACAAAGAAGAGCCCAAAGTAACTGAAAATTACTGAAAATTGTTCAGAGTCGCAGCATTTTTATATTATAAACAATTACTCTATTGAGTAGTTTTTGAGAGCGAGAATTGGGCGGAAGTGTCTGAACTCTCTTCCGGCGAATTTAAGTTGTGTAAGGAGCAACGGCCCTCTTCCTCGAGGCACTGTCTGGAAATTTCACTGTATTCGTGGATAATTTTTTGAATAATTGTGAAAAAATGAAAATGTATGCCCATTCCTTGTAGCACGCAATGTTTCACTTTCTCAACAATTATTTCAATACACAAAATAACATAAGTTTCTTCAGTGTACATAAATTTAACGCTTCAGGCAAACGGGTGAACTCACACTGCGATTCAGTTCTTATGCAGGCTTAAACGCTGTTGCAGAAGTAGGCCTATAGAGAGTGTCTCATAATTCAAATAACAATACATTCCCCAAAATCATTATGATTAACTACGCAGGGTCAGTTACTGTTTACTCAAACAATATGAAAATATCACATTTTGATGGTGAGACGTGTGAGCTGTCAGTTGTAATCATAGCAAAACCAAGGCAGAAAATTTTGTCATGATTTCGAATAAAGAACAGGCAAGCTTAGGGTCTATATATTTAATATATGAACTTATTTACGTACATTTAATACACATATATATCGCTTGTAGGCCTAATGAAATCATACATTAGAGATATTTCTGAGATTTTCCAATTTTGGGTATATTCAATAAAACTTTTAATAGTAAAGAATCCAAAGTACCTTTATGACGAAGGTTCCCATTGTAGTGGCGATTCTACAGTTAGAGTTAAATATTCTATCGCTTTTAAGTTCAGTTAATTGTATAACGGTACATATTTGAAGAAAATGCGGCATTGATGTTTTAATAGACTGAGCAGTGTGTCATGAATCTGAGTAATTTATTTTCGAATTATTATTCATTTTTATTTTGTCAATAACAGGCAATACAGCTTGCAAATTTATGGTATAACCAGAGACAATCAAAGGACGAATACTTGCTTTCGATAAGATAAGATTAGCTCCTTGGAAGTGTGTACCAGCATCTAAATGCACAGGAGATTATAAGCATACTTATGAGTGAAGATTTTATATTTTGTCTGCAGTAACGGTATTAACGTTGAAAAGTATAACTAAAGGACTTTATCTCTTGTTTTGTTACATGACGCATAATGTGTACTTCACCTTCTCTCGAATTACGTACGTTTATTTATGCTTTGACTAGATATATTTAATTGCTATTTGCTCACGAGAATCTTGTTTCTTATGATATGCATTATTATGTATGAAGTTTAAGAATGTTATGATCTCGTTGTAATACTGTGTCCTAAGAATGTAATTAATTTTCACGTATTTTCCTGTATAACTTTTGTTTCTGTTTGAAAGTGAAAGAAAGGCTAAATTTATTTAAAGAAGCATTTACTCAGTATTTGTATATAGATAAGTAATTAAACAAAAGTGAACTTTATTAAATTTAATATCGTTATCTGAAAAATCAAAAAGTATCGTATCGACATTAAGTTGGACATTGTGTTTTGTTCGAGATGTCTTTGATACACATGAGGTCTCGAAAATTGGTTCGAAGGCGAAGAATCGTTAATATAAAACGTACATCAGGCTATGAGTACTGTGTGACATAAGGAGTTATGGATCAATAATTATATTCAAGTTTCAGAGAATAATTAAGTATTGTTTATGTTGTGTTAATGTTTCGAAAACAAGATCGTATCCCTTTATCGAAATTATACATTACAGCTTATGACTCTGCATATTCTATGAGAAATTTTCACATATTGTAATAATTTTTAAATAAAAATATTGGCTTCCCTGAATACCATTTAATTTGGAATTTTAAATCAGCTTAATGCCTGTCCACTGAAGGAAATTTTTTGTCACCAATTGATTTTGGGTTTCAAAAGATGCATTTCTTACAACAATTCCCCATTCTTATAGTTTCCACTTGAAATTGGGTTTGCTGTTAACATTTCTTTCAGATATTTCGAAACAACACTTTCAGTTCACATGCTGTAGCAAGCAGGAGCTTCACACAATATTTGTCCACCATTCTTTCTTCAAATATTCAATGTTAAGTGATCTTATGCCCTCACATGTACAGCACACACTAAGAGCTAATTTATCAATAACTATGAATGTGATTAACTTACAAAATTAAACTGTGAAGAAGTGGCTTCTAGTCCATGGCACTAGCGATTACACCTGTCACCATCCCACTCGGTTATTCCTTTCAATTCCAGACCCTAACAGTGTCACAAATTCTTGTCGACTCAACAGACACTTTTAAAATCCCCGCGAGTAGAGCAGATCTCAATGTTTAGTTCATAAAACGTATTGAATCTGGGGCAAAGACCGAGCGTGGAGGGAAACTGGCGAAGAGAGGTTCAAACAACTTCCATCTGAAGTGGCGGACGACCTAGGACGGACTAGAGATGGTTCCTCAGCAAGGGCAAGAACCGTGCAGCGGCTGCGGTAGAGGGGAAGGGGACAGCAATTCTCACTTCTGAAGAAATATGTAAGTAGAGAGGGAGGAAACAAAAATAAACATACGCAAATAAAAAAGAGACAAAATATGTTGTTTTTTTTTGTAGACCAGTTCGTTTAAAAGAAATGCCTTCTGTATAATTACATCACGGGTGTCACTACTCCCTAATAACAAGAATTGTTTCGTAAAATGTGGGCGGCACATTCTGGTTGTTCGCCATGTGGATAACAGTTCCCCATTGGACACTTAGATATTAAGCTCCTCCCCTTGTTGCCAAGAATCGATTATATACATTTTTTAATACCGGGCCACATGTTACTATGACGACAGGAGTGACACAAGTAACGCGAGTTACATTTCGAACGTGGTTTCTGAACGAAGTCATTTTCCAACAGAATTTAAAATTCTCATCCATATATATGTTATAAATGTTAAAATAACTGCGAAACAGGGTTAAATTAACCTATCTGAAGAATGCTCTATTTCTTCTGGAGAACGTTACTTGGTTACACTTGTGGTTTGTGTGGCACTGGGTCAAAACATAAGTGAAGCTCCGAATTCACAGGAAAACCCTTGAACATTTCGGCACGCGATTGTTACAGATTACTCACCTGGTAATTCTACGGGTTCTTAGTGTGAAGGGTTAGCGACTAATGTTCTTCCGTTGCGATTGTTGTTCTGTTGCTGGTCGGCAGCCTAACACACGAAGCCGCGGTTTCCCAAAACTGTCACTTCCAGCCTTATCATATCATGTACTATTTGCACGTTTCCAGTCTTGAGCGTTGTGTTATAAAACTCGTTTCAGACAAGATGAAAACAATTATTTTTCTTTCTCACAGAACCCAAAAGTGTCTCATATTCTTAATTTATGTGTGTTCAGAAATTCATAAATAGACGTACTCTGAAATTCTATTAGAAGCTAGCAAAGAAGCTGATACAAAAGTAAATGCAGACTACAAATTTATGTTCGTGTGTCATCACTAGAAGGCAGGAATTTGTAATGGTAGGATCGAAAGGTAGTTAATATTTCTTTCGAAAATGTGGTCTAGTTAAAATTCTTCGGACAAGAGTAAAAGAGCAAAGTCGCGCACATGAAGAATTTAAGGCAATAAAAAATCGGGAAATAGGGTACTCAGGATTACCAGGCTTATATGGTAGGATAACATTAAAATTGTTATTAAAGGAATACATTTTATGCAAATAGAAAAATTTTCATCTGACTCACGATGGAGTCTAGTGCCGCTTTCCTGTGAACAAGATTATGAACCTTCGAGTTTCATATAAGGCTAGAAAATTCCTGACTATTACTCTCTCGGAAATAATTCTGCTCCTTAAATTTAATTAGGATACAACCACTGTTGCAGTACGTTGTCGCCTGTTACTGTAGATACTTCAAACGAAAATAACAGAAGAGGTATTACATAGGATAAGTAGACTACCGTCCCAGTAACATGGTGTTAATTTGATGCTATGTTTTCACGTGTAGGGGTAACTATCGAGGGAGTATGAATTGGTGAATAGATTTATTGACCACTTACATGCTGTAACTATAAACATTATATAACATTATCGCTAATTTCCACACTTTAAATTTCACTAGAACACACAGTGTACTGTACTTAATCTGTTACTAGATGTTTCCTAGTAACGGCTCGAATAATGGCTATATCTCTGCCTCCGGCTCAAATCCTCTCTTCAGAGATTCCCGTACAGAACTGACTGAACTGACAACTGATTAAGTCAAAGTCGAAGTCATAGTTACTTTACGACTAGCAGTTTACCGCCAATCAGTTAGTCTTGGAGTCAAGACCCTTGAGACTCACGATCAGAATTTTTTTATCAACTGAATCATTGCGGTAATAGTCCTTATGTAGCACCCTCTCTGACGAGAAGATGGGTTTATCTCTTATGAATAGGCTTCTCCTTTGTCAAGGGTTTATCTCTTATGAATAGGCTTCTCCTTTTTCAAGTATAGTGTCGCACATACAGCGTGTTACTGCAAATTCTTCCTTTTGCACTATATACAAGTCCACTGTTAGTACAGGCTTTTCAGAGCAGATTATGTCTATCTTACACATCATATGCTACATCGGTATCTTTATCATTTCAACGGTTGTAAGCTTGACCACCATCAACTTTCAACTTCTTATATTACAATTGACATAACTCTTAAACATCCTGGTTATAACATCTAGACATGGACCACATAGAAAATACAGCTTTTATATTATTTGGTACGTGTATGTTGCGGCCATTGCCTAGCAACTGTTCTGTATGCTACAATATAATCAGTTTATCCAGTATCATCAAATTACCGTATAATAAACTAGTCAATCTCCAGTTCCAGACTCCTGAATATTAAAGACTTAATAACAAACAACAGAGATGTGAACACCTTGAAGGGAAGAGGAAGAGGAAGGCCTGCCTCTTTAGTTTCAATACGGAAGCAGAGAAGTCTTAGTTATACGTGCCTGAGGTTCTCACAGAGGTGGCTATGAAGAGTTCTATCTTCTGGGATATAACATCGTGTAGTCATTTGAAAGTCGACTGTCGTTTCGTATCTCTGCCAACTTCAAGCAGAGCTGTGCTTGCCACCAGCTTTCATGCCGGTTTATTTCTTGGCTTATTCTTCGACCTTGGAGATGGAGGCGACACGATCCTGAGGAACTTCGGTTGACTTTCAACATATTGCACGGCGTTATATGCGAGATGACAGAACTCTTCATTAATTTTAGATGAGAAAGTATCATGTCAAAAATTAACAGACAATATGGGAGTCCATAGTTACCAGTTCCCTTATTCAGACTAGATGATTGACACTGCATTTATAGGTCCCAATTATTGTCTTTCTCTTAACAGCATATTAAAAATGTTCCAAAAATGTATTAATCTTATTAAAATAGATGCTTCATGTTTACGGTGTATGAACGTATATTCTAGGAAGAACCCTTTTTGAGAAATTTCAAAAATATCTTTTCGAGCTGTATGTACGAGTAAAATACGGCTTACAGTTGATCAGTGTGAAGCAAAATAAATAAAGTCAGACAAATTTAACTGATATCATCTAAAATGTCATCAGAGATTAAATGCGCTTGCATGGTCTCAGGCATTGTATCTCCATTACGTACTTGCTTTGCGCGCTTAGGGCAAACATCGTATAGAAATGAAAACTGGTTAAATCTTGCAGTAATGTACGCTGAAGACGCCACTAAGGCAATATTTATGGAAATTCCTTTCCGTGTCTTATTTCTTGTGAATTGCCTGCGTTATGGATGCGACAGATAATTAAAGATGTAAATTCCTGCTCGTTATGACTGTCTCGAAATACAACGAATATATATCCATAGAAAAGAACCGCATGAAACTGGAAAGTAAGACAGGGGACATGATGTTTTATTCGTAAAGAATACACCTCAAGTGATCAGAAATTTTACAGCAGCTTTGTGAAGAAAGCTACCAGCTACTAAACAGATTCATAATTTAATAGTTTTCTTTTTTAATGCTAGTGGGGTGGGCCTAAGTCCCTTGTACTGCGGCCACTACTAGCCTGTTGTACCAGCCCCAGATGATAGGTGAGAGTAATTGTGGAGAAATTGGTGGAAAGAAGATTGGCATGGGAAACCGAAGTACTCGGAGAAAACCTGCCCCCGCACCACTTTGTCCACCACAAATCCCACTTGATCAGACCCGGATCGAAAACGGGCCGCCGCGGTGGGAAGCCAGGGACTAACCGCTTGAGCTATGGCGCGGCCGTTCATAACGTAATTACTCTAAGATTCCTCTTTAGAAGTATTCCTAGTATTTCTAGTATCCATAGTGTTTTTCCTCAGTTTCTGCGAGGTAATAATATTACTTATCTTCAACTATTATCATTAATGATATTTTTAATATCACAACAAATTCGGCAAAGTAAAATTCTTCATAAAAAAACTGACAGTAACCTATCTTGTCAAGAAACTTCTCGACTTTTATGAAGTCCGAAGGTTCAGTATCGTATTCGCAAGAGATCATCACTCGATTTTGCCATGAGGTTAATGAAACACACTCAATTATCTTTTAAGATTAATTAAAATAATATTATCAACTCCACGCCTGGGGCTTGCAAGTGGTATCTTCCACACAGATATTCCGCTTAAATATTACAAGAATCTATCGTCTCCCTCATGCGTGCAATATGTCTTACTCATATCACGATCCTTGATCCTTGCTTATTTGTACTCACTCAAGACTAATTAATCTGACTCATACAAAATATTATAATAATTCAATTCAATTCGTGTTTGTTTACGTGCAAATTTAACAGCACAGTGGTCAATTACAAGGTTAGCACGAGTACATGGAAATACACAGAAACAATTTAAAAAAATACAAAATATGACAGTCTATATTTTTTCCTGTGGCGCTAAAGCCCCAATTTGGGCCTAGGCCTACCTCCATGAAACTCTCCATTTCACATCGGTTTACTAGATCTTACACATACGGTAGGACTCCTTTGGCGAGTGATCAGCTCGTCGCAAGGCCTCTACCTGTACACAAACACAGAAAAACGCACACAAATATCCATGTCCTGAGTGGGATTCGAACCCACGATCCCGGCTTCCGAGCGAGCGAAGACAGTGCATGCCGTAGACACCTTGGCTACAGTGACCGGCATGACAGCCTATGTAACAGCAATAAATTAATAATAATTCAAAGAAAAATTGAAGTTAGCTTTCATGAGCCAGAAAATAGAATATGTACATTTCCAATAGTTATTCCATTCGTAGCGAGAAAGGACAATAAATGTGCATACACATATAGAAGTTAATAATAATAATAATAATAATAATAATAAT